AATAATGGTTGTCACCCCCTTCAATTTTTTTAATTGGAGAGTGGGTGTGGGGGGGAGGGGGGTGACAACCATTATTGGCATGAGTATAAATAGGGCTACTTTGTGTTGTTTTGGAGGTTCTTTGCAGGGAAGTAAGGAAGACAATGGTACAACATTGATTTAGATAAAGACACTTGCGATAGATACTTATTTCTTACATTTTCATATACAGGACAAATATACATAAAATGGAATTCATCTTCAATTATGTAACAGAATGGACATCATCTTTTGGGTTTTTTCCATAGAAAAATATCTTCCACGGTTAATTAATAAATCATTAAGGCCCAATCTGAAACGTACAAAAGCATTGCGAACATTTCTCTAGCGAAGGTGAGCAAGATAAGACTCTGCCCCAAGCACAACGACTTAAATTGACGATATGAATCATATCTAGAACTTTCATTAATAGTTGAATGCCATTCCTGCTTAAACATATCAATAGCCCGCATACGAAACTGTTTAATAAACATATTTGCATTTCCAACTGTCTGTGATAACCAAATACAAACAAAACCATATCTAAATAGTAAGGTGCGAATATGAGATGTACAATTATTCTTTCCAAGATAATCAAGATGTAAAAGCATATTGAAGGCTTGTTTGGGTAAATGATGTTCAGGTATATTAATTATTTTACACCAATATTTTAAACAACGACAGTAAGATGATATGTACAATGGAAACCTCCCACATCCACCATAAACCATAGCGTTTGGTGTTGACAAAACAACGTTCAGAAACTTTTTACAGGCAAGCAAATGAATTGTTTCTATGGTATAATACTCTTTAAAACCCCATATTTCAGATCCATACAGTAAATAACAGAAACATGATATCTAAGAGATGAGTTCTTATATTTACCAAATAAGTGAAAGGATAGGCTTTAGGGAATGCAATGTAACAGTACAAGCAATAGTTACGTATGACAAATAATTAGGTGCACACAAATACTGTCTGTCAAGAGCAATACTTTCACGAGCACTCATAAGCACATGCAGTACATGTTGTGTTTGTTTTGGCTGCGTCAATGTTTTCCGTTGTTTCAGAATGATCTTCATGATCCAATGGAGAATGAACAAACTTTATAGATAACAGTTCTTCTCTTTCGTGAATGCGACGTTTAAATACAGATTCTTGTACCTTTGTTCTGCTTGAAAACGGTAAAGGATTCTGTATTTAACGTCACACATAAGATAAAAGAAGTTGTTATACATACAGTTTGTTCATATTACACGTCCACACTTCTAAAGTGCCGCTCAAAGATGTTCGCTGATTGAGGTTTTTGTACAATATTCACACAATCCATGTAATATAATTAAAACATTAAACCGTCATAAAAAGATGATAGGAAACCTTTTTCAACAATACGTATTGCGGCAAACACTGTCGTCTTCCTGTCAACCGTCTTAATTATAATCATATTTTTGTCATTTTCTGCGAGAAAATATTTGCTTTCAGTAACCTCTCAGGAACCTCAGCTCATTACATGGTAGGCCCGTAACAGTCAGTTCTGTTTACCTATGTTAAAAGTCATTTATTTAAAAACAATAATGATATCTTATGAATAACCAGTTGCATTCATGATGAGGATGTTATTATTAAGTGTACTATGTACAAGCAGCGCCGCTCGTCCGCGGGATGACCGCTAGCTTAAGCCTCATAAATCGTCCTTAAGAATATCACTCCCCAATCTTCCTTAAGGCTATCGCATCACGTCAATCTGGTATCAATACGAAATTGGCCTGGTCAGCAGCTGGTAGTGTAGAAGTATTTATCTCTCTATATGGCGACTTTCATCGTGATTTGGCCTCTGTAACACGATCAGAGAATAGGACTCGGACATGCCGTTTGTCTTCTTGGTGACAGATTTGACAATCTCGTAATCTGATTGTAGGGGCGAGGTGATCCAATTGTCTTATGTGTGATGGTATCTACACAGAGTTATATCCCTTAGGTTCTGCTGATTGTGGGTTCGAGTCCCTGATTTGACCTCGTTATAACCCTTGATTTGTCAGCACATTGTGGGTTTCATCAAAGTGGAATATGTATATGTGTCAGTTTGGATTGTTAGCCTACATCAAGCAAACACTTGCATAACTGAAACAGCCTTCACAGCCGAGTTACAACCAATTTACTACCTCAATAATCCGGATACCATAGTCGACAAAAGGTTTGTTTGATGTTTTAGCGTATGCCTATATAAATAAAACACCCTGCAAAAACAAACAGTTGATCCCCGTTAAACCACACAGGGCCGTTCCAAGTACAATGATCACGACAAACAAAATTCCAAATTAACAAACCTATTTAACGCTGTATCCACTGGACTAAGTGATTGTCAGTAGTTGTGTTTCATTTATACCCTGGACTAACTGTATCTATATGTTATGCATCATAGCATGTTACATAATATAATAAATAAATATATAAATATGTAGGATATTATGAAGACATATTTAGACTAAGGTATACACGAAATATTGATTGCTGTGTATAAATTACTCAGGTATAATATAAATACATTTTGGGTTAGTCAAGTAACATATGTTATATTTGGGACTACACTTTCTTAGTAAAGTACAGATTCTAGTACTTTTGTTCGGTTGAGTCCCATCAGGGATTCGAACCCACACTCAGAGTCAGGCACCTACCTAATCGCTAGCACACAAAGTCAGACGCCTAACCCGCAGCTTCCACAAAAATGGAAATCGGACAACTGGTAGTCTAGACCACGGACTTTGTGTTAGTAAAGTACATGTATAAATAAATGATAGGGTAATTGTCCTGGTCTACCTGTAGCAACCGCACCTTCGGACATTGAATGTGCATGTATTTCAGGAATGACATCTTTACCGGTTTTATATGTTAATACATGAATAATTTTCATAAAACTGCAGGACTGTTAAACAACATGCATGTGCAGTGAAACCCCTTTAATCCGGACCATATAGTTTCGGAGGAAAGAGGTTCGGATTAACGGGGCACAATGGGGACAAATGTATCGTCGCTTCAAACAGCTTCCTATAATAGAGCCCCTAGGTCGAGGTGACCTGTTGTCTGAAGAACCCTTTATCGTACATCGTCCTGATGTAAAATCCATTAAAGATTTGCTATATACGAGCGTGTCCATCAGAGACGCTTTGCGCTTTATGTACTCCAACACACGCACGCACGCACACACACACACACACACACACAGAGGCGCGTGTGTGCTATTATTATAATCGATTTCAAGGTTGTTGTAAACATTCTGACTAATGGAATGACGAGAACAAATGATTTATATTGGATAAACATTCCATTGATGATACAGATACCTGTGCCTATGCTGCCATTTGATATAACAGATAGTTCTGTTTCCATGTACACCATGAGCGTTGAAGATTCAACGAATTAGAAGAAAATTGGATTGCTATGATAGAGTAACTGCCCTGATCAACTCAGGGGTCTGTCGGTCACCAGTTGCCAAAGTGTGTCGTAAAATACGTCTCGGTTCGAACTGATGGCTTGGAATTTTGTGGAATGTCGACAGGAAAATTTCATCTGGGGACTGTTTAAATTAATGAGGCATTGCATCCCGGTAATGCAGACAGATGTTCACGCTATCGATCCCTGATTTGTCAGGTCTACAGTCGATTACATTCGATTTCCCTGTGCTTTAGTCGCGAAATTGCAGACTGCGACCGAGTAATGAACTTAGGTCCTTGCACGTTAGCCACTGATAAAATTATTTGTACTGTAGGTCTCTGTACAGCGAAGTCCTCCATTGAAAATCCAGTTTAGAAATGGTCTTCGGCAACCTATGCTTGAAGTAAGAAGCTGCTAACTGGACCGGGTGGTCAGGCGCGCTGATTTTTGTAGATGTATGTCATCATATCCAAGTGTGTGGATAGATGCTCATGATGTCAGTCACTAGATATTTGTTTCAGGCTTGATGGTTTGGCTGAAATATGTAGCGCTGTATTTATTCTTTATTTCGGCACAATGGTGTGGGTTATCAACAACATGGTCCCTATACCGTGTCACATAATGTTATAAAAGTGCTTATGCGAGTGCTTTAATGCTGAGGTTTGAGGCATGGACGAGGTTTCAATTGACTAGGCTAGGTTTCCCGTAGGGCTGTCACATAGCTGATGTATTGTTGAGTGCAACGTCAAACAAACAAACAAACAAACAAACAACCAATCAAACAAGCAAACCAGTCAACATTTATGTTGTCTCATTTTGGCTCGAAGGTTGTCTGACCACCTATTTGCAATGGACTACTTGGCGCTTGTCAGTTAACCATGCCAATATCGCCTCTTCAAGGTGCACATGCAATATTGTAGTAAAACTGACGCGGTTACTGTGTGAGTTGTATTTGATTATAATCACCGATGGATCTTCGTAAATGCAGGAAATTTGCACCGTCGCAACGAAAATGCATTGGGACGTATTGCCATAGCAAATGTAAACGATTTTTACCAAATTAAAGGACAAAAGATATAGATTATATATTTCGTATCCATGATGCTTATTCAAAAACACATCATGTATGCAAACCGTCAGTGGCACCCAATATTGAGAGATTAATTAATAGGTTTTCATCAAAGATTGTTTATGTATATTTTGGTAGGTGTATATGCAAAACACTGTTCATGTAGCGTCCGACTAAATGTAAGCTTGGTAAACGTGTTATCCCGTCACGCCGAAGATCCGGGTTCGATTCCCCACACAAATACAATCTGTGAAGCAGTTTAATGGCGTCTCCCGACGTGATATTGTTGGAAGATTTCCAAAGGCGGCGTAAAACTAAACTCACTCGAATACATAAGCTTATCCTTGCATCCTTGCCCTCGATCCATGAAGCCAACTTGTGTAAACCTCCACGTGAGACGCCACCTTTCAACAATTGATCTCAGTCAGTTTCCTATCTTGTTTGATTTACATCCGAGTTAACCCTTCATCTTCTGTTTCAGCCCCAGAGGAGGTTAAGTTCAGGCAGCCTCACAGACGGCTCTGAGACAGAAAACGAACCCTCCCCACCTGTCGCCAGGCGAGGGCGGCGGTCCGCCATCTTTGAAACGAAGGTAGGCACTTCCGGTTTATGTAAACTACGATATTTTTATTGCTCATTAATTAAAAAGTTCCAAACCAACATTTACGACTTGCACAAATGTTAAAATTGGTTAGCATCGCATTGCAAGTGAATGTGGTACAGTATATCATCGTCCCGACTGGCACTGTTTGCTCTCTGTGGCAAATGTATACATTTCCCCTGTGCAAATAGTACAGCAGTCATTCAAACAGATTCACCGTTTTGTTCGATATTATAAATAGCCCAGCCTTTTTCAACCATTGTTTCCACAGTCTACAATTGTGTTTGTTCAATACGTAAAAAGACGATCTTATATATCTCGCGTACTCCAAAGGTTTCGTCTTCTGTGAACCAAAACACGACTTACATCCAGAACTACAGGCAACTGTCTCGGACGGTTCAGATAAACATTATGGCTTGTTTTTTACAAGGTGTTTTCTATACCTCCAAAAAAGTATTCTTACGAGAATATTACCACAGCTGTATATGAGCGTTGCATTTTTTATTTTTCCAATCTATTCAAGCAGCATTCGTAAGGTTTCGCTACCGAGATTTAGTGAACTTCGTCCTTTTCTGTTCCACATGACAAAACTAAGCATTACATATTCCACATGGTGTAAAGATTTATTGAAATTAAGAACTGATGAATCTTTCACTTATGCATAAACTACTATCGAAGCAGAAGGCTTTATAAATAACCCGAGAGGGGCGGTGGGGTAGCCTAGTGGTTAAAGCGTTGGCTCGTCAAGCCGAAGACCCGGGTTCGATTCCCCACATGGGCACAATGTGTGAAGCCCATTTCTGGTGTCCCCCACCGTGATATTGCTGGAATATTGCTAAAAGCGGCGTAAAACTAAACTCAGTCAGTCAGTAAATAACCCGAGACTTACGCATTCGCAGAATATGTGTTCACATGCGGTATATTGCATAGAGTGCGTGTGAGTGAGTATGTTAGGGTTTACGCCGCTTTTAACAATATTCCAGCAATACTACGGCGGGGTACATCAGAAATTTACTTCACACCCAGTAACCATATGGGGAATCGAACCCAGGCCACTACTGACGGACAAACGCTTTAGTCACTAGGTTACCTCACCGCCCCTGATTACATAAAAGACACCTCAAGATATGTAAAGCACTGTGGATGTAGCATGTGCTGTCTGGCTCAATACTGTCTTGTATAGTGGAGTAAACACACCACCAGACACCAGTATACAATAAACATGTGTCATAAACTGATTACGTTAACACCTAACATGTTACATTTATAATACATGTGTTACCCATACCTGTTCATGTGCACAAGGTGTCATCACTTTAATGATCAGTTGATAGGTACACACATGCTTACGATCGGTATCGTACAATCGATTCGCTTTTTGCAGACATTTCTTATGAACATGAAAAGGTATTTTACATTAATTTTGTATATTCGTCAAATGAGGACAAGTTAAGAATAAAATATACCTCCTTTATTTTCTTTCGTATGACTAGTGCTGTTATTGTCAAAGTATTGAACACAAGTCTCCGAATTTTTTTTTCGAACATTTAAACTGAAGTGGTTGTTAATTGAGGCAAAATAGCTCTCATGCTATTTTAAGTGCTCTTTATTTTTAAAAAATGAATTTAACAAATTGACATTTTCACAATCGATTTTTGCATCTCTGAGCAAGCGTAATGGTTACAGTCAGGTTTGGTTATTTCCAATTCCCATTAGCGCTGCAAAGTAGTTTAAAGGGGATGCATTTAGAAATGTTACATTCTTATTTATCCCAATAGGCACAAAACGACTTCTTGGCACATCTGACCTTTTTGAAAATCACGTTCTTGTGGGAATAACTGTTGTGTTGGGCAATGATAAAAACGACATATCAAGGACATATCTTTATTTGATTACTGTTTATTTTAAGTTGGAAAGGTTTTTGCCACATATGTTTTGTTCAGTGTGAGGTGACGTGAAACTGGGTTCTGTCTTGTGTTCAGAATTATTAAAGTTGTATAGCAAAGTGCGAGCATCTGTATTGTACTAGGTACTTGCCCGGAATGTCTTATAAATTTCAACGAAAGTATTTGAGAAAAGTGGAGTTTTTTTTAAAAAATCGGCGCATTTGCTTGAATTGTGTCAACGTCACAAAATAACGAAATTGATACTTGTCAAAACATTTGATTCTTTACTTTGTGCGCCACAATTCCTCACGACAAAGTTGGAAAACTTAAGCTTCATGTCTTGATCCATTAGGCATATCTAACCAGTGAAGATCCAGGTTAGAGTTGATCTTCAGTAACCAACCCATGTTGTCGTAAAAGGCGACTAAAGGGATCGGGTGGTCAGGCTCGCTGACTTGGTTGACACATGTCATCGTATCCCAATTACGTTGATCGATGTTCATGCTGTTGATCACTGGATCGTTTGTCGCGATTCGATTATTTACAGACCCCCATATAGCTGGACTACTGCAGACTGTGGTGTTAACCAACTAACATTTGTAACTCAACATGGCGACCATTGCTACAGCATCACCTTCAGTAGTTCAAGACAATTTGTCAGATAATGTCATCTGATCATCTCATTCCATCGCATGGTATCATCGTGACTTGATAATGGTTCACAAACCCATGCTTATGGTGACCTCGGAATCGTACAAAGGATATTTCTTGGAGTTTCTAATGATTATAGAAAGATCCGTGGTTCTGTTTACTTCAATGCAGTAATCTGACCGGTGTTGTCGTAATGTCGTTAGGCCCATCCTTCATTCCTTTACTCAATTTACTAATCATGCTCACAATTGGCAGTCGCTGGCTTTTCCCTTCTCCAATCAGTGTCAATAAACATCCATGTCATGTACCAAAAACATTCACGGCTGTCCCCAATCTCCTCCAGCTTGATTATCGACGCTTCTGAACCACGACCAAAGTGATCCGCCATTACCCATTACCCTATCCAAGGCTTGGTATTAGCAGCATTGTGGAGCAGGATCACTGGCAGTTGCATCTTTAGTAATTAAGGAACGTGCTCCACATCTCACTACACACATACGAACTGATTTCAAGCATAAAGGCCTTAATGAAAATCCCCGAGCCGTTAACTCGCTCATGATCTTTGATGGGCGACCAACACGGAAGCTAGTCTGACCCCACCACTCTCATATCCTTCCGATGTTAACAGTTCAGTTGTCCTCCTTGTGGGTCCACTATACAGGTTCCGATCTTCTAATGTTCGTCTTCAAAGGTAAATGGCGTTTTACAAGATACTAGATTCTTTGGAGGGGCTTAGCCCTCGCGAATGAGGGTACTTATCTGTTCACAACAAACTGATAGTTAACGCCCTGAAGATCAATGATTCCCTGGAAGATTCCAAGACCTTCAAGTTGCTTTTTCGGTTACATTAATTACTTAATTACAGACACTTATCATCGATTTAGTTTATTAACAGATGGTGTTCTAATGAACCGATCGTGATCAATTAAATATTTTTGACTGTCATAGCGCGATCTAATTTATACAAAATTTATTGCGTCTGTTAATTTGTGTTATACAGTCGTGATTTGTCACAAGAAGATCTAACCGTAGATACTATGTTAATTAATGTTTAAAATCTTTGTACCATAGACACTTTTATCGTGAAATGGATTTCTGTATTCCTATTCCTATTTACGTACGAATTCTTCGTTAAACCTTATTACAAACAAGAACTACATTACGATTCCCATTTGAAACCTTATCACAAAACCCGTGAAGATCCGGGTTAGAACTGATCTTCAGCAACCCATGCTTGTCGTAAGAGGCGACTAACGGGATCGGGTGGTCAGGATAGCTGACTTGGTTGACACATGTTATCGTATCCCAATTGCGTAGATCGCTGCTCATGCTGTTGATCACTGAATTGTCTGGTTCAGACTCAATTATTTACAGCCGCCATATAGCTGGAGCATCGTTGAGTGCGGCGTTAAACAACAAACCAACCAACCAACCAACCTTATCCCATAAAAGTAATTATGTGTTGACTCGTAGACGCTAGGGTTGAGATAAGTGAAAGACCAGCAGCCCCGTGATAAGTGTATCCCTTAATCCGTGCCTACACGAGACTTTGTGATAAGTAGTGTCTCATCCCAGCGTCTGACAGCTGTTAAATACATCTTCACTGTGCTTGCCATTCCTGTTGGTGACAGCGTAAATCTACAGCGAGTATGTGTTCTTTATACCTTCTGGCCAATCGATTTTACGTATCCACCAGCTAGTCACTATCAGTGTACCGCACTATGTATACTTGTGCCTATCATAAGGTCGTGGTCGTTTGCTTCATCTGGAAAAGCCCAGGAAACCGACTCTTCTGAACCGTTCAGGGATGTTTATCTTTATGTGAAGTGTATATTTTCATAAAGAGCTGTGTTGCATTCGTTGTTGGTGCGACGAGTGCCCTACAATATGGTGGAAGTAGCCTTGGTAGGACGGGGGCATATCATCTGTCTGAGTTGGAGTGAGTGAGTGGGTCGGGTTTAACACTGCTTAAACAATACTGTAGTCATGCCATGTTGTGTCAGCTTGTAGATTGAAGTAGACTAAATGTCTGGTGTGAAGCAGGTGAACCACTTTGGTAAAATCCACGAGCATGAATATGGAGCTGACAAGTCTAGAAACATATTCATGTCGCCGGTGGAACACACTATCATAGGCTTCTGGCTTACCCAAGGGACGCAACTCTGCACACAACATTACTCCGCTGTAGACGAGTTATGCAGCCGTGGTCCTGACTGAGCTGGAACATGTATTTCTCTTCCTACGTCCAACTTTATTTGCATAATACCAATGTATTTTAGCTCCAGGTGCATGGAAAGCCCCAGACTATTTCTTGATCGTTCACCACCCTGCTGTTTGTAAGAATTAAGACATGCATCACTTTACGTTTCATCGCACATCAAGCAAAGCGGCGTTAAACTCTACTCACTCGTTTCTTCTCGTTTGTTTCACTCAGCTTCAGATAACAACTCAAAA